GGGGGGGGGTCTGAATTGAGCGATCAATTATTAGACCCGGACGTCCCAACACTTGCTTCGCAAGACAAACTCAAGGTATCCCCTAAAGGGCTACCTTTCGTGATGAGGATGAATTTCGCTGAGAAATGAGGGTTTGAGGTTGTTTTGAGGGCTTAGCACGGTGTAGTAGACAGGCCAAGTCCGCACGGAAGCTTAGAGCGGTGTAGGCTGCCAGTCCAGGCTCTGGCCACTAGTTCACATGGCTGCTTTGGACCTTTTGGATCTCAGCGATCCAAGTGAATCAGCCAAGAATTAGACCTCCAAACCAAGGATAACGATTTCATCTAGACCATCTTCGACCCCAAAACATTCACTTCAACACCGGCCCAAACGCTCCAAAGAAGTCGAGCTCTCCCAAAGCTTCAACGGAACCCCCCCAACTTCCGCGTCCTTCGCCCGACTTCCGGGTCCAAACGCTCCAAGATTCAGTGGCAAACTCCAGCACTGCTGGGCGCGTGTCGGATGCCTGGAGCCAAAAGCGAAGAAAAGGCCTCCAGTTCCTCTAGTCTAGGGAGTCTAGGGCTCCAGTCGTACCTTGTGAGGTGGGACTGGGGTGGGTGCCAGGGTCCAAAGACCTTCTGAGGAGGTACTTGGAGCACATTAGGGGAGTGCTTTTTGTGCTCAGCCTGGACATCTGGGCATCTGGACATCTGGATACTACCTGCACAGCGACTCGCTGAGGAAAAAACCTTGGTGAAAAGAGGCCATGAAGTCTATAGGAAGGAGGTACCACTATCGGCTATTCCAAAGATTCTTTGGTAGAAAATTGCATAAAGCATGCCTGGAATTCACCTAGTTGGAGCAACTCTTTGAGAAAATAGACCCAGAGGAACGCCCAAACCAAACAAAAGCATAAAAATTTGGAGCAATGAAGAAACAATAAGAAACAAGCTCCACCTGCACCAAGCTATCCTGCTGTTTTTGTGCTGTGGAATGCTGTGGACGGAACCTGCAGGACCTCAGCTTCCACCTACGAAGCAAGGAAGAGCAGCATGTCTCAGCTCCAATTTGAGCAGTTAGCCAGTTGAAGTCAGCCAGTCTCGGGTGGCTCTTTGTTATCGTCATGTTCACCCAAATCGTGGGTGTTCACCACAACCAGCTCTGAGGGAGCTTGGACGGCGCCTCTTTGAGATGGACCCCGGACCAAGAAATTCCTTCCAGGGGCACTAAATACCCTGCACCTACACCTGGCAGCTGGGTATGGAGATAGGCTTCTTGTTTCACAGTGCTCATTTAAGCTTAGATATCCTAGGATTCATCCGCATACATTACTGCTTCCTCGGGTAGAACATCCAGATCCGTGCTGGTTCACTCAACCAGTTTTTTCGCCTCAAAACCGGTGGAACGGCCCCACACATCGGACCACGTACACACGCCGAATCACATCCACACACCCCACCAAACCTCCACCGGGAGGAAGGTGGTCTGAAAGCGAATTGAGCACCTGAGCCGAACGAGAAGCCATGAGAAGCCAGTCCGAAATCGGAGTCCGTTGAGCTCCTATAGCCCGCGGCAAAGGGGACACGTTGGGCACAGGCACAGGTGCATGCGGAGCTGCGCCAGAGTCTTGGGGGTGGGTGAGTCTTTCCTTCCAGGAATGTTGAACAAACAAAGGAAGCGCCCAACCTACTAGCGATGGCCTCCAACCTAAGAGCGATGGCCTCATACTAACTTGCAACCGGACAAAGACCCACCAAGTGCACCTTGCTGGTGATTGACAGCATAGCCGAGCCACCGCCCGGTGGAGGAAAACATGAGGAACACGTTTAGCAAATCCATCAATTGTTGCGACTACTACTTGGCTAATTACAGTAGGCTTCACTTAAACATCTTCACCCCAGCCACTGATCGCCAACCTCTTCTCTTTTTGTCCGAACTGGCCTCTACATCCAGCAAGCTGACGCAGGAGCAGCTGGCTGATTTGCTTTTGCTCCGCTTCATCCCACCTTCCGTGCTGGAGGCCTCCTGTGGTAGTTCGGAACCCCTTGACGAACGCCAGGACCCCACTGCCTCCGCCTCCCAGTCCGCTCGCCTTCACGCTTCGCGGACGAGCGATCGAGGCACTTGGTGTCCCTGAGCGCGTCCGAGAGATCCACATCACTGGCCAATCCCGCATAGTGACCGTAGCGACCCATCTCCTTGGGGTGAGAGGGCGGAGGTTCGCGCAGCGAGGCAGGAAGCACCCGAGTGATGCGCGCGTCCGTGGGCGGAACGTGAAGGGAACGCGTGGAAGCCGTTGAAAGCCGTGCGAGTTTGGCGTGAGGGGAACGGAGGGTGAGAGGGAGGGTGGGCAGAAGAAAGATGTCATCTTGGCGTTGGTGTAGGAAACAACCCATGGGCTCTCCACAGCATTGAATTCAAAGACTTCGGCTTCGGCTTCGCTGCAAACTTGACCTCCCAAGCACCGAAAAGCTTAAAGCCAGAGGACGCGAAGGTACTTTTTCTGCCAAAAGCTGCTCCTAGTAAAAGGTTGGAGCATGAAACATCTGATCAGTCCTGTGTATATATATATATGATATATGTCAAGTCTCAATCTGTTGATCACCTGAAAACTGTTGAGGGTCCAAATCCCACAACTGCCCCTCCAACCTTTCAGCATTCCCATCCCCATCCCCCTTCACCATCCCCACCTTCAGCACCCTTTGCAACGTCACGGGCCGCAGCGTCGGCGCCTCGCCCGGCGCCGACAAGCCCGGCGCCCCTGGTGCCACCAGCGCCACGCGCTGGGCGTCGATGATGCCGAGGCGTTCGTTCCAGTTGTCAGCGCGGAGGGTGAAGAGCGGCGTGCCACTCCTGGAGGCGTCGGTTTTCTCGCAGAGACGAGGCATGCAGGCGCTGGGTGGCGGACGAGGGGTCGAGGGGGGGGTTGGGCAGCAAGGGGTTGATGGAGATTGGAATTGATGTGGGCATGAGGTGGCTATCCCAAGTAATTAAATCAGGTGCATTGATGGTAACTTCCCAATGGAGAAAAATATTCATCATATTATAACCTTCTGCATCATTCTACCAAAAGCCCTCCATGAGAAGTTCTGGATGGAGATGCCTATCCAAATCAGCTGCCCCGTGCACCAACTCATCCTCGGCGGCAGCGCGAAACAGCGCGCCTCGCCCTTCGGCGTATTCAGCGCCCCCGCCTACTCTTCAGGTAGGTGTCCGTGATGTTGGCACCCCAGCAGGACAAGCCCGACGGCCCAGTCCCGCGGCTCACGTCGTCCCAACTGACCACCTTGCAGCTGTAGCCTGCGCCGAACCACGGGTGCAACAAAAAGCAGTGTTCGACCAGGTAGTTATTGCCGGAAAAGCCTGGTCTTTTCCAATCAAAACAATGGTCAAATGGGTTCTAGAGGTGGTTCTGGGTGGTTCTACCTACCAAAACGCCCGCAGGTGTGCTGGTGTGCTTGAAACAGTGTATCAGTTCGTTTTTCGGGAATCGTTGGCTCGCCGTTGTCTTCGGAATCTGAGCGGTGTTCAAAACCACAGTATGATTCCTGTCTACTAACACAGAAATCTTTCGCATCAGCTTACGCAGCACTTACGCGACTGCAGTTTCATCTTTCGCGCAAAAGGTGTGTGTTTGAAAAACACTGGCGCGGCGCAGACGCGGCGGATTGGTTAAAGCAAATGTTTGCAACCTGTTCACCAAACATCGTAGGCTCTCAAGCAATAGGAAAATACTCGTTCGCAGAGCTTACGCGACCATACTTCTCTAAGGACTCTTTCGCTCAATGCTTTCGCGTTCGCTTTCGCAATCAGCTTTTCTTTTCGCAAAGACTACGTGAGTTCCAAACCTGCTCAGGGCGCCCTCTGCATTCTTTACCCACAACTCGCGACTGCTCGCGAGCTTCGCCCCACCGAAGCGAAGCAATGCTGCGAAACGCCCGGCTCCAGGCATTCTCGGTCCTTCGGTCCTGTGAAGTTTCTTTCAACAGTCATGTAGGATGCACCCCAAGCACTGCCAACCACCCCGAGACTGGAAAGTTCAAACACAAAGACCAGCCACGAAAAAGTAGGGGTGCCCTTGCTTGAAAACAGTCCGGGTGCCCATGTTTATCGGCACGACCAAGTCATGTTGTACCAAACCAAACATCACTGTGCTCAGTTTTTGCTTGATTGAAGCCATGGCGAAACTTCCAGCCCCTCCACCTTCCACCGATTCGACCGATTGAAAAAGGCCTGCATAGTGACCGCCCTTACTGCGACAGCTGGCGTTGATCGCTTTCATGGTCTCCTGGTCATGAAGAGGTCTGGCGGTTCAGGTTAAATGTTTGATCATTTGAGAGGGATTAACAAACAAACGTGATCAAACCACCACCTTGCGTCCCCCTTTTTCCCACCTAGGACCTACTGCTAGGAAAGAACTCCTGCACCACCCTCTCCTGCACGGTCGCCTCAGGTCCTCTCCGCGCCATGGCGCTCAGCTGTCGGACCGGGCGGAGCCACGGAACCAGCGCCCTCTGCTCCCGCTGCAGGGAGTCGGTGCAGGTCGTGACCAAGCACTCCCGTGTTCGCTTCAATGCTTCAATGCCAGCTGTTGTACCATTAAGGTTGTACCAGTTGTACCAATGCTTCAATGCTTCATTATATAAATAGATGTGTTAATATAACAGAGCCCTTTCGATCCCCCTGTGAATTTCTTCCCCCCAAGTTCGGAGAAGGGGGTGGTACAAAACGGGTGGTTCTAAATATGTTCTTCTATGTTCTTCTTCCAATTGGGACAGGTGCGCATCGTTCGGTTTCTGGCGCTGCGCGCTTCGTGGCGTCGGTGCCTTGCGCATCGTGGCATGTGCACAGCGTGCCACGGCCTCGGAGGACGACCGAGGGCTACCGGACGAGGGAATTCCGATCGATCGAGAGGAGCTGAGGATCGTCCAGTTGAACACAAATGTTGGGCTCATTCTCATTTTGATTGCAGTTGGGTGAGGACCTCATGGGTCCCTCATTTGGCTGAGAACACAACCCTTAGAGCCTTAGGGGCCCTACAGGTCCAGTTAAAGGCAAGTGCTATGACCAGATCCAATGAAAGGAGGTCCTTGACCTGCTTTTCAAGAAGCGTTCATGGGTGTCAACCCTGTTTGCTCGTCAGGTTGGCAATAGTTCATAGTCGCATGGGACAAGATCTGAAATGCAACGCGCAAAGCACGGTCCAAACAGTAACATGGTGTTTCACACCGTGGTTGGGGTATTGCGGAATGGAGTCTTGTTGGCGTCGGCGTTGCAGGAGCACTTGTTCATCAACAGCTTGCTGAAATGGAGATGGACCAAAGTTGCAGAAAAAACACCACCTGTGAAGTCGGGTGCGCAGGTATACAAACGAATTACGTTGGTCTGACATGGTCTGTGTACAGCAGTATATGCATGATGCACATGTATTAATCTAAGATCATCCCCCTTAAGAGATATCATGCCCATATAGCCCATAAATCGATACATCCTACGTTCACGAAACCTTGCTGATCCGTCCCATTCCATGTGCGTGAACTCTTTCCGCAGCCGAAAAATGAATTCGGATCTTCAATCCAAGCGCAAACGACGAGTGACAAACGACGATCCCTTCCGCAGAGCCCAGGAGCATCGTTCACGTCCAGCATCTCCTCACCTCGCGCGGTGACGGTGTCGGGAGCGACCACGAGGAGAAAACCCCAGGAGAACACAACAGGGAAGTAATGATCGTGATAAATAGAATGCCTCTCAATTGGATTGAGCAATACATCAATAGCCTCCAATAGAACCCTCTCGTTGGATAGAACCCTCTCATTTGGATTGAAGAACCAGTGGAATAGATCGAGTCTCACGAAGATGATGGACTCCATTGGACTCTTATGGCGGGACAAGCCAAGCAGCACAGTCCCCGCACTGGGAGGGTCATCGTAAGAACTGACATTTGGTTCCAAATACCAAGGGAGTGGTGCTACCAGAGGAAAACCAAGCGCTTTTCTCTACTGCGGTGCCGAAACGAGTATAGATATACCGGCCGTTATACCCCAAAATATGAAAACCACCAAAATCCCCCGCCAAAAAAACTCACCGTATCTCTTCGGGCACCTTTTCGAGACCACACAGCCAGTGGATGCTTGGGCTCCCTGCCACAGGGGCCCTCAGCTGGACTTAAGCCCGCCTGAGAGGCGTTTTCGGCTGATGAGGCGTTGTTCGGTGACATGGATGCTTAAAAAGCTTGCATGAAGAGAAAGGCCAAGGATTATAACTACAAATAAATACAGCTATAGCAGTTGTGAAGTAACATGCTTGTCTGTACATGTGTTCTTTCTACATGTTTCATGTTTCTTTGAAATGGTTTCATCGATGTAGCTTCATGATGTTCATTTAGCCTTCCTGTGATAGTCTCCCTGCCATGAGAAAATATTCGGCGATCCCCATTATGCAAATGCTGGAATCTTCAAGGTTCTTGCACTCGATGTACAACATGTGGTTTCTTCGAAATGAGCTCCCGTCATCGGCGCACAGAACGGGAATCTGTTTTTTACTATCAGGGTTAATTAAGGGTTCTGAACCAGGATTTGCTTGTTCATTGGTGTTCACGAACTGGGACAAACTCATGCATTGTCCACCACGCACTCCACAGCTCCACACCAGTCTGATGGCCGACTTGCTTCTTCAAAGACCAACAGCCACTTTGCCAATCGCCAAGAACCAACGATTTCTTCATGAACAACTGAACTGCATTGCTGCATCCAAGTTCTTTCAACAGTTCAAAACACCCAGAAACACACAGATATAAACACACGAACTTGAAGAACAAGAATCACATGCCAGTACTACTCACTCCACTGGTCGACCAGTGGGCCACTCATCCACGGAACAAACGATGAGACGAGAACGGGCCTCCATATCACCCTCCAGTGTGGGCACCAGCGTGCTTTCGCCCTCCACGGTGACCTCCTCGTGGAGGGACCGATCCGGACGGACTGGTGCATTGCCACATGGTTAGAAGTGTTATATGCGTGGAGATGGCCTGGCACCGAAAGGAAGAGTACTTTTCTTTACCTTCAGGGGGTGCTATATCCACTTCCATGTTAGTACAGTTGGAGTGTAGATTTGCTTGAGTTCTAGTGTTAATCTGAACAATTGGTGGGATGTCTTAAAAGAGACCCGCTCAAAAACCCCGTGAAAAGCAAAGATGAAGCGGAACCCAATTCCAAAGAAGGCCATGTGCATGTTCTTGCTTAAGGCCCTGGCTCGGTGCATGATTTCTAGCTTCATGATGGCTGTTCTTTCACCGCTGTTCTGACCCATCTCACGGGGCATGACAAGAGTGTCTGTAGCTGCATTATGACAAGATGCACGCCAGCAACGCAGTGTTGGAAGATGTTTGGAGGGGTCTCTCATTCTCAACGGTGCACCGTGCTGCTTATGTGCTCTACGGCTCTGACTATGGTCATCAAAACCGAGGGCCAATCCCCATGGAATATGGTCATCAACACAGGCAAGACTGCGACTGGGTGTGCGGCAGAAATGTGTACAGTATCTGGAAACAAAAAAACACATGCTTGTGCGCTCTTGCAAGAAAAATGCTTGTGAATGGCCGCCTATGACACAACAGGGCCGGGGTTCGGATGGAACGAAACACTCCTGGTTTCTGCACCTGGTCGGATAGAGTCAAAACCGTCCAGATGAAGCAGACAGATGAGCATCAGACCGAAAGCTCGCTGAATAGGCCGCGAGGCCTTTCTTCACGGCTTTCGGGTTGTTTCACTCCGAGGTGAATTCGAAACCAGTTCGATGTGAGCAGCTTCCGACGCAGGACGTGGTTTTTTCTCCGTGGTGAGCTGCGTTCTTGTCGGTGTGTGCCAGTGAGTTAGTGAACACTCATATTCAGGAACAAAGTAGACAAATCGGTTCACAGTGGCGACTCCCAAATTTTGCCCCATGCAGTGGAAATCTCTGAATCCCCCAAAACTGCTCCACTGAGGTGCTCCACTCCTTTTTGGGTGCTGAAGCTCCACCGTCTGGTCTTCAAGCTCCACTCGACTCCACCCGCCTTGAAGCAACCCAAAGGCTCATACTCCAGGATCGGCACCTCAGGAACACTCTTGGTAAAGCAGCCGGTCAGCAAGGCAAAGCAGGTGGAGGTGAGCAAAGGTGAGCGGGGTTTTCTTGGTGACAAAGACAAACCGCGCCAACCGTTTTTTGGAAAAAAAACATCCCTGTTCCGGTCATGCTCCATCCATCCAAAGTGCTTCATTTCATTGGCAAATGAGTGCAACAAATCCATAGATGGATGGTCAACTCAGCCAGGTTGGGCAGCTCTAGCTTCTGAAACCTTGAAACCTACGTCCAACTGCAAAGCACGGGAACTGCAGTGTTTGTATTGTGTCTGCTTTGTCAAAGGTTTTTGGCCCATGTTTCAGGCCATATCAAGCAGCACCTTCCAACACGTCTCCTCCGAAGGGTTAGAGATGTACAATGAAGTGACATCGGATGTGGTCGATATATCGAGCATCACATCAACACTTGGGTGTGGCGGACAAATGGCGCTGTGCATCACCCCAAACGCTACTAGGGGGGGACAAGTCAAAATAGGTCAACACCGGCAGATCCCTCAAATGAACATGCCAAAAGACAGCGTAGCTGGGAGTTTTCAGCAGCGTAGCTGTATGCAACAGCAAGGTTCTGTAAATCGATTGTATCGATCTGCGTAGGTCAACAGAAACCGAAGTTGTAGAACTTGAGACACTCCGCTCTACTTCATTCACTCCACTGATTCTTAGGGCCGCTACGGCAACTTCCAGAATTCAACACTCAACATCTGGATCTCACCGGCACGAATAAACGCCCCATTCACTCTAGTATACAAATGTGACCTTGTTTTGTTGTCTCCCAAGTGTTCCTACACAAAAGGAATCTTCGTTCCTGGGAGGTCTATCAACTCCCGGACCAAGAGGCAACAAAAATCCGCCGGACCCTGAACACCAACAAGGAGGGATTTGGGAGACGTAGAATTTGACCACCGTCGTGAGCCACCCTCGTGATGACATGTGATGAGGGGACTTGTCGCGTGGGTCTAGGGGGGGCTAGTGGCATCTAACTGACTAACTGATCACTGATTCACACCAAAAAGGGTTCCCCCACACGGGCGGCGTATGAAGGAGGGTCTGAAGCCGCTGGGCCGGGTCCGAGGTCTGAAAGTCCGGTTCCGAGTGCCGTCCGCATGGAGTCCACCCTCCCAGGCTCTCATCGGTCCGCGCTTGTCAGGCTCCGGACCATGATGATGCGATGGTTCATGGTGTCTGCCACGAAGGCAGTGGAGGAATGCACTGCTACACCTGAAAAGGCTCAGCCAAAAGGGCTGGGCTCAATGGATGCAGTTGAAGCTCGAAACCGATTATTTTTTGTGACTTCCACGATCAGCCTCAGACTGGAAATCAAGGAGTTGTTTCACAATAAAAATTGTTCTTTTGTGTGTTGTTTATGGTTTCAATTCATGATATGGTCGAATGGTTCTGGAAATGCGGTATAATTCAGGTGTGATATGGTTTCTTAATAATGAACATATTTGTGATTCTTGTATGATCTTGGACATGTTTCACGATGAGGCCATTAATGATTTAAACAACTAGCTTTGCAGGGTTTCGAGGGTTCTGACCATTTTCCAGGTGATTGGGTGGAGCCTTATTTTCCAATCTTTACATACATTTCTCCAGGACCACCAAAATATATACATACAGTAATGAAATAAAGGTTATATTAAATCAAAACAAGTAACATTAAAGTACAAACAAATACATAAGAAGTCGAAACAATCTCCTGTCGTAGAATTCAATGTTGGGCTGTTGTTTTGTTTGTTCGATTCCTGAAGCGAACAGACAGGTGTCCTGGCTGGCCGTCTGCTACGGCGTCGGACGGGTCCACGGCTCGGAAGCGGGAGCGAAGGCCATCAACCTCGAGGAGCAGAAGCGATGCCCTTTGTTTCGTTCGTAGCCTTCTTGCTCCTTTCGTAGCGATGCCCAGGAGCTACTTGCTCGTAGCTTCTTGACCAAGTCAAGTTGGCTGTGGGTCATGGCACCAGGAGACCATTCGCATTCCATGGTGGACTGGTCAGGCTCCAGGCTTTGATCCATCCTCCACCTCTCTGTTCACTCTTGCCCTACAGTTCCCCCCAAAGGCTGCAACCAAATCTGGGAGTTGAATGGTTCTGGAACAAAGCCAGACACCATGCCGAACTTCTGGGCCCACTTCAACTCTGCAACTCTGGTGCCCACTTCAAAAAGGCCACTTAGAAGATCGAAGTAAACGGATCTACAATGTACAGCAAGACACTCTAGTACAAGCAATATACCATGTACAGCAAAACACTCTACAATGATCTACAATGTACAGTAATAACGTAGTATAGTACAAGCAAAACACATCCCAGCCCCTCTTCGTGAGCTCTACCCTCCACCACCCCCCCCCCCGGATCGCCCTCTGTTCCGGACTCTCCACGGACTCCGGCCGGTGCTCCGGACCTTCGGGTCGGTTCAGCTGGATGTTCTTCCCCCCAACGCTCGTCACATGCCCTGGCGAGCGGGGAACAAGAGAGGTCGCCAGTGACCGACCTGGACCACTGGGGTACCTATCTATGGGATAGTCTATATAGGGTTCTGACATAGCTCTGTTGGATGCCAGATCCTTGGACCGCACGTGATTGCGAGGCAGAACTGGTCAAAGGATGTCTCGTCTATAGTCACATAGAAGTCATAAAGACCCCCCAAAAGGGGATGCACATGGTCGGGTCAACGGCGAACTAGAACCGCCGATTCGGAAACTAGGGTGGCCACGGATGCGGAAACTAGGCACATGGTAGAGATAGAGAAAAGGAGTCTTTCAAACTTCTGACCGGGGCGAAGTGTTTGTTTGAAGTAGCAACGCTCTTCCAAGGTTCGGCTTCTCGCAGCCGCACCTTTTGAGTTCGCCTTTTTTAAGCCTGCTTCTGGCCGCTCACTACTAGCACTGTACAACAAAGAGGCCGCTATATATGCCCGTCTAGCACTGTACTACTAGCACTGTTTCTGTTTGGACAAAAGGCCTAGCTTTTGGGCACCGCAGCTTGGGTTTCAGAACTTCAGAACTTTTTTCGCTGCGCAAGCGACACGCGGCAGGGATCTGCAGGGCGCGCAGCTAAGGCCTTGACATCCAGACGTCCTGCCATGTGGTTCCTCGCTGCCGTGCCAGATGTGAAGCATGTGTTTCTGGCACCTTGCTTGCAAGACCCAGATCACGGCAGAGGGAATTGCACACATGCCCTTTGAACTAGGTGGAGATGCCACTTGCCCCCCAAATCAGTGCGGCCAAACTTCCCACCACTCCGGCTCATGAGAACTGGATCTGTGAAGACGTCGTAGTCAGTTGATCCCAAGTGGGTCCATTGGGACGGCCCACGATGCCGCAAGTCGCAAGTCGCTCACCGAAGCGGTGTGCACCCAACTCGACTCAAGGCATCGGGGAGGCTGCAGCTCCAGATCCAGCTGGTATTTGACTTGAACTTTCAAATTGACCATGGATGATTTGCTCTAGGATGAAGGCTTCACCATCATTTATTTCGTAACTCTGCAACCTTCTCTTGCCATACAGCCATGCACCTTCCAAAGATATGCGGGCCTCATGTAGGCCTTCTTGTTCAGATCTGCTTGCTTGTTGAACTCCTCCACTAGGCTGGCAGCTAGTCCCTGGGCTGATGATTGACCACGCATTCAGTGCCAGGTGAGAGCTGTTCAGAGTCCCCTTCTAGCACTCTTGCCTTGAAGCATGTCTTCATCGCACCGCTCGCCAAAGCCTTTTTCTCCAAGCTGATCTCCGCCATGGCCCTGCGAGGTGGTCCCGATGATCTATGACTTCACAAGCCACACAACTTGAGCCGCGAGTGATAGCAAATCTGATATACCTTGCCACCCCAAGAACATGACAAAAGCACACAAAAAGTCACCCCAATTACATAACCAGCTGAAGGAAAAAGAGAAAAACAGGTCCCCGGGCCGGGTCCAGATGTCTCCCGCCTGTGGATCCAGTTCCGATCACCTGTTGCACCGCGCCCTGGCGTGCAGGCGGCTCTCTGCCAGAGACGACGTGACTTCCAATTGGTGAAAGGTGATGAAACCATCTACAACCCCAATGGAAAGATCGCATCGAATTGGAACAGACATCGCATTTGGGGAAGAATGACCGAGAGCAAACGACGGGCATTTACACCTTAGTTCAAAAGATCTTCCAAAGGTGCTCTGTACTGTAAAGCTCAACATGCCCAAATTAGGCTCTGCAAGCAGTGAACATTCAGCATCTGAAGACGGCTGGATTGGTGGTTCAGTGGTTCAGAAACCACCTGAACCCTATCAGTGATTTTTCTGGCGGTGTTTTTCTACTATATTCGCTACTCACCGTTCATCGTCCCTCGCTCGCTGCCGCTCCTCCATCACGCGGCTCCCCAAAGGCAGAAATCGTGCCACAGCCTGGGTAACAGGATCTGTCTGGATACAGATGGGAAAGATTGCTTGTGCACCTTTCATATTGTCCAGTCATCTTGACATGTTAGAAGGAGTCTTTGGCAATCCAAAAACACCCTGTCCGGGCAGGGTGAGTGGCCCTGGAGTCTAGCTTCACTACAGTCCTATTCACTAATATGGGGTGGAGTGGAGGGCTGCAGCTCGTGGATGAACGACTTCCTGAATGCCCAAGAAACAGGCGTTCCGCTAAACCAAGCGGTTAAGTGAATCGGAGTGTACTCTTGATGTTGTGCAGAACAATCCACCATTTAGCAGCCCCAATCTGAGCTCCTGGCGAAAGCAATCCCAGTCTAGTTCTTCGAACATCATGGCATATTCGGGCCGGGGGGGGTTCGCCAAACCCCAAAAGCAGCCAAGAGCATCGTCCCTGTTTGACTGGGACCTTCCAAAACCGGGCGATGGTGTCAGTGTCGGTGGGCCTCTGCCCAGCCCATCCCAGTCTACTTCGCCCAGGCCCCCGATGTCCCCGATGCCTGTCACGCTCGGGGGTCCCGAACATTCCAAGACTCCACGTAGACCAAGGACCGTGGTGCTCCCCACCTGGTGGAAAAAAGAGAGGACGGAGGGGTGTCCTGCCACATGTGCTGTTCCGTGGATGTGACTCACAAATCGCAGCCCAGGCCCAGAACCACTGATTATAGGTATCATTTACTGAACTGACTACTGTAAGTCCTGCAGGTCCTACGTCTTCCTCTATTTACGAGCAGCCACATTTGCATAGACATGGACAATGACCTTCTACAGGATGAAAACGATCTATTCTAATGATTCTAATGAGGTCAATCTTTCATGTGTCTACGTAAATGGCCAGTGTACTCCTCCATAACTTGAACCTGAAAAGCATCGACGTCTGGGTTGGACATCGGTCAAGTTTCGAAAACCCTCCTCGAAGCACTCTTGTTCGTGTGTTTGTGTTTTGGCTCTTTTCCTTCAGAATCACTTTTAGGAATTTTGGGCAGTATGAATAATTGTGGCAACCCTGCTCCTGGACCCTTTTGCTCATAGCAAGTCATTCAGATTCGGGTTCAACTGTGAGACTTTCTCTCAACATCTTCCTGATCCACCCCACTCGACCCCAGAAATCCCACTCCTTTGCATAAATGAATCCACTTCGTTTCAATCGGTCTGATCCTTCTGGTTGACCTACGAGTAGCGCAGGCCACCCTCGCAGGTGGCTGATGATCCAAAAAAACACCATGGGTCGGAACCAGTGGTTCCGAGGAATGTCAACGTACAAGGTGTTTACGGTGACTGGGATGCTTCGATCAAATATATGCTTTTCCAGACATGAACTCGGAGTGTTCCTACCTCGTTTCTCCAACTAAATCTGACATTGGGCTATAGAAAAGGAGCGCCTCGTCACTAATCTTCACTACCGCAAGCAAAAGTCGTTGATCATATATATATATATATATATTATATATATATATGGGATCATATGGGACCGTTCCAAAAACCAGCCCAAAAATGCCTGAACCAGCACGACGTGCATCCTCCTCTGCGTCGACCCACCCACTCACGTGATTTGGCCCCGAGGTCCCGGTGCGCCTCACGGACATCCTGAGTCCCAACCGGTGACGACCCGAGGTCTGGTCGGGAAAGCTCAAACAAGGTCCACAAAGCCGCAAAGCCATTGGTTGGAGGGTGTCCATATTTGGAGACAAAGCCCAGCTGTAGGAAAAAGGTCCACACTGGGCATCTCCCACTTTGTCTACAACGCTCTCAGACCATGGTATGTCCCCGCCCACATCTATATGTTTCCCACATTAGTTTGCAAGAATCTGCTTGATTTTTCTCAATCGCCATTCGAGGAAGTCCGCACTTCTTCCAAGGCCTACAGAAGTTGATGGATACCAGCACACCATTCAAGGATTTAGTGACCATAGTTTGATGGATGGCCACGTCTGGTATTTCAAAACAGGTGCTCACTCAGATTCTAGTTACAGCTGGAACTTCATTGGACAATCTTCTTATCTTAGAATGGTCCCGCTTATGTCTTCACACAGACGTCCCAGCCGATCCAGCTTGAGGCCACCACGCCAGCTGCATGGGGTGGTTCAGCTTCGCTTGAGTACTCCAAGTGCCGGGAGATGCCAAGCCCTGCCGCGAATGGCAACATGATCACCTCGTAGATCTTGCCACACAAGTAGGCCATATATCTACAAGTGAGTTCAACCTGTTTCGACATCAAAAACTACACACCTGCGTGAGCTTGCGAGATACATCATCGGAGGTAAACTGATGTTTGGCAGTCATGACTTGACCAGGATGATATGCCCTAAATCCGCACCAAGCGCTGAAACAAGTGCTGATTTCAGGGGATCCAAGCGCTTTTTGAGAAGATCCTCACGGAAGGCTGACTAGAAATCGTTGATCCTCAGGCTCAGAGTAATAATTTTGAAGTCAATCATATGGATATGTATATGGATTGTCTGTAGTGTTTGAGCTACGAAGAAGAAGAAGAAGACGAAGAAAAGAAGAAGAAGAAGAAGAAGTCATGGTCCCTGACTGTCAGGGACCCTTCTTCTTCTAGTTTTTTCTTCATCTTTGAAGGAAAACAAATGAATTCACCCAGAACGAACAGGTGTGGAAGGGCAAGCACTTACTTCTTAGAGGATCATGTGAGACCACCCAGGATCCCCCCCAAACAGCCTGGCGCTGGGAATACTTGGGTACACCGGTTCCTAGCTTCGATCCACACGGGCAGCCAACAAACACAAACCTCTACGAATGCGATACGCGAAATCATGCGATGATGCCGTAGATGTTGATAAACATGAAATAAGCTGTAATTAACGTGGTTTGTATATAACTATATTGATCTTCACTATATACAAACGGTTTGTGTTCTCTGCCGTTTCCCTCCGCGGCGAGCTCCCTTCGCCTGGCCCAAGCCGCCCACCACGGTGGTGATCACGTCGGACTGCCCGGGCGTCACGCGGACCTGGGGCGGCCGGAACACATGACTCTCCGACTCTCCTGCGACTTAGGGAGGTTGCCTTCCCATTTACTTAGGGAGGTTGCCTTCCCATTTACTTAGGGAGGTTGCCTTCCCATTTACTTAGGGAGGTTGCCTTCCCATTTACTTAGGGAGGGTGCCTTCCCATTTACTTAGGGAGGTTGCCTTCCCATTTACTTAGGGAGGTTGCCTTCCCATTTACTGAGGGAGGTTGCCTTCCCATTTACTTAGCGAGGTTGCCTTCCCATTTACTTAGGGAGGTTGCCTTCCCATTTACTTAGGGAGGTTGCCTTCCCAT